AAAAAGGGCAAAGAAATTCCTTTTTTACAGGTAATCCTCGGCTTTCAACCATTAATTTAGTGACCATTCAAAGCTACAAGGGCACTGACAAAAAGTGACTTATGACAATTTTTCACACTTACGACCGTGGCAGCATCCCCATAGTCACATGATCAAAATTCAGATAATTGGTGACTGGCATGTATTCCTGATGGCTGCAGTGTCCCAGGGTCAGGTGATCCCCTTTTGTGACCTTCTGACAAGCAAAGTCAATGGGGAAGCCAAATTCACTTAACAACCATGTTACTAATTTAACAACTGTGGTGATTCACTTAACAACTTTTAAGAAAGAAGAAAGGGAAGAAAGTTCATAAAATGGAGCCAAATTCACTTAACAACTGTCTTGGTTAACAGCAGAAGTTTTGGACTCAACTGCAGCCATAAATAGAGGACTAACTATACATACTCTGTGAAAGCTTCTCCTTCTGTCCACAGATTGGCTGCCTCAGTATCTGAAATTTGCACAGTATACTGTGCCATCATGTAGTTTGCTTGTTTACGGTTTTCCGAGTTGCATGAAACCAATCTATTTGATGTTCTTCAGTAAAATGAGGTTAAGCAATTCCAAGAGTTACACTGTATAGCAGAAACCCCAGAGAATTTCAAGATGAATAGCTTAAGAGAGAGAACATGACATAGTGTTTTTTCATGCAGAAGTGCTCAAATTCCAACTGATTTTTTAACAATCAAATAGCAAATGGGGGACAAAATATTTTGTCAACTACCAACTACCAGAAAGTACCTCTGCTCAGGCAAGGTATACAACATTGTCTACATCAGTTTTCTATGCTCCTGATGGATGACTGAAAAGTGTTGACTTTCTGGCCTTGATGACACTTCCACTGTCAGTACAAACTGCCAGGTGACTCCCAAAGGGCCTGGAATAATAGGGAGCATAGGATTAAGAAAAGTTAGAAAAATGTGCTAGAATATGGTAGTTTACCTTGAAGGTAAGAGCACATCCCTGCAATTGAAAGGGTTTTCCAGGGTTTGCTAATAATTATGATGAAATATTCATAAACACTTGCTCTTCAAACATCAGGGAAAAAGATTGCTAGAGAAATCAGAATCTCTAAATAATGACAGTCTCCTAAGAGCAGTCTGGAGGCCCTTTGCTCTTTGGGATATAGAAGACAAGGGGAAAAAAAAGATTGACGACGTTTGTCCTGGATTTGTAAATATCTAGGATTGTTCCGCATGTAAAAGGGGGGGGGGGGATGAACTACTATATAGCTCAGACAGCTGGTTCAGTGTCTGTTAATCTTGCACTTTCTCATCTTTTCCAGTTCCTTCTGAGTTGAATTCCCATGAAGCACATGTCACTACCTTTGCAATTCTCAGTGTAAATGCAAACTGTCTCTTTTAATTATGTGAACATTCTTTACAGATCAACTTTAAATTTGCTTTACTGGCTTTTTAAAAAGGAGGGAAGTAAGAAAAACCCAAGTTTTCTTTAGAAACCACCCATATAGTCAGTTATGAATGTATTTTGTTGCACCAGGAATTATGATTGGGAGGATTTGCAAACCAACTCTTACAATGGCAAACGATGACACACATAATGCTCATACAAGTGGACCATTTTCTGAGTAGTAAATGTTTATTCTAAAGACAAAGTCCTTATTGTCTTTTGGGATGTCTTCATTTTCCAGTCTAGCCTACTGAATAGCCCTCATCATGTCCTCTGGTAATGAATTCCACGGGTTAATTATGTGCTGTGTGAAGAAGTGTTTCCTTATGTCTTTTTAAAATCTCCTTTTAATCAGCTTGGTAGGCTATTATCTGTTAGTGTCCCATCTAGCCAGGTCCATCTCTATGTAGCTTTTCAAGATCCATTTGTTCTTCCAGTTTCTTTTTAAATTCCACCCATCTTTTAGGATACTCGTAGTAGAAAATGCTGGTTTCCTCCTTTTAGTCTCAGATCACATTAACTTCAAAACAGTCCTGTAAAGCACATTATTCAAAGCCAGTGGTAAATAAATCTTTATGCCTTATGCTTTCCTTTTAATTTTTTTTTCAGCCTCCAGGGGCTGCAGAGGTTATTGGTGAAGCCAAAATGTTCAACCTGTTTTTAAGTTTTATTTTTAGGAGTTTGGGACATTAACACAAAACAGATATATTTATTGTTCTGGAAGCTTATGGATATATTGTTGTTGTTGTTTTTTTTTTTAAAAAAAACACCTTAAAATGTCAAAAGGAAAAAAGTCCCATCCCTTTTAAAAAGAAAACTAGAGCAAGGTTGTATTAAACCTCCCAAGCATGTCACTGCCAAAAATGCTAACTTGCTATCAATTTGCTGAAATGCAATCCAGAGATGTTTGGAAGAATTGCAAAAATCAGGCTGGGGTATTCTGTGAGAGCCAAGTACTGCTAAGCTACATTATGAAAATCTATATTACCTAAAAAGAAATACTGTGAAAAGGAAGCAGCATTATTTTGGATTGTTGGAGAGGTAACTGTTTTGATCTGTAGCAGGAAAAAACATAAAATATTTTCCTGGTATATTAACAGCTAAAATATGCAAGTAGGTTATAAGCTGTTGTAGTCTAGATTCCAGTTTTATCACATGCGTGAAATCTTATGCCTTCCATTTTCTCAGTGTCTGAAAAAATGAATGTTTTTGGTATCATTTTGGTAGAATTTTGCCTGGCAAGCGTTTTCAATAATATTAGCTGGAAAGAGGTATTTTTGGATTTGCCATTCCCTTTTTAAAAATTAAAAGCTTTTGAATTAGGAGAGGAGATTACTCACTGGGTCTCTGTAGGATTCTGCTTTCTCACTTTTTCTCCTTTTAGTCAGCCTTTACTAAAAATAGCTGTTTTTACCCCATTTCTAAGTTAAGTAAGATTGAATGATTTACTCACACGGAATATAGCAGAATTATTCAGAGGAACAATTTTTGTTTTAATTTTCTATGATATACTACAGGTAGTCCTCGACTTATGACTACAATGGAGTCCAAATTTTGGTTGCTAAGTGAGATAGTTGTTAAGTAAGTTTTGCCTCATTTTACGACCTTTCTGATTCACTTGCACAGTTAAGTTAAGTTAAATCAGGGGTAGTCAATCTTGGCTCTTTTATGACTTGTGGACTTCAACTCCCAGAATTCCTGAGCCAACTGTGGAATTCTGGGAGTTGAAGTCCACAAGTCATAAAAGAGCCAAGGTTGACTATCCCTGAGTTAAATGAATCTGGCTTTCCCATGGACTTTGCTTATCAGAAGGTTGCAAAAGGTGATCACATGACCCTGGGATACCGCAACCATCATGAATATGAGCCAGTGGCCAAGTATCCAAATTTTGATCACGTGACTGCTGGGATGCTGCAACAGTTGTAAGTGTGAAAAATGGTCATAAGTCAATTTTTAGTGTGTTGTAACTTTGAATGGTCATTAAATGAAGACCACTACTTGTACTGTGGTCTTCAAACAATGAGAAGGAATAATGTGAACAAGGGATTCATACTACGAGATGGGAGGGGGGTGGTATGTTTTTAGCCATCAGAATTTTGTATAGAACCAGCATTAGGGAATACAGCCAGATTTTGGTCCAGGTTCATCATTTGCATTAAAAAGTTAGAATTCACTGAGTTAAGTGAAGTAATTTACCTGGCAGAAGTAGCTATATCCCAGCAATATAATTGTGACACTTACAAACATCAAATATATGACTAGTATATCGTGTTTACTACTATGCTTTCTATTGATCCTATAACATCATGCCTTGGAACGTGACAAACTCTTCTATAGAATGAGGCTTTCTATTTCAGTATGAAAGAGATTCTGATAGCCGTATCCAAATGAGCTAATCATTCATTTCAGCTACAGCTTCAAAACATATTTGCTAAGGTCAGAAGATGTAGCTACTTCCTTGAAATATGGAGACCTTTCAGGTTGTCCTGTAACAATTCTCTAATATATTCCATTTTCAAGAGAAGAAAACAATCTGGTCATTTTCAGAGTGCAATCAGACCTTCACACAAGACTTCTATGAGATGCTTTACAATGTGGAAGATTGCCATCATCGGGAAACTATAAGATACTTTCTAACTAAACCTCCATGGAATCCTGGCTCAAAGAATTTAATTAATTTAATTGATGATCATGATGATGATGAAGGCCAGTGTGGTTTTTGAGATGTAGGCCTAGACATCTTAAAGAAATATCAGTCGCTAGCACAGTGTTTCTCAACCTTGACAATTTTAAGGCATATGGACTTCAACTCCCAGAATTCCACAGCCAGCATTGCTGGCTGTGGAATTCTGGGAGTTGAAGTCTACATGCCTTAAAATTGTCAAGGTTGAGAAACACTGTGCTAGCACATTAAAGATGCTGCAGCTGAAGCCCTAACTTCTACCATGGAATCCCTGCTCCTAACCCTAAATGTGTGTGCCTACACAATTGCTCACCCACTGCATGTCTCGTATTCCAAGTTTGATTCCTAATACCTGAAGTTTTATTGGGAGGCTGCTTATGAACTTAGAATAACTGCAGCTATAAATACATCAGAGAAATCTCATCTGAATATGCACTTTGAGTCTTAAGTGCCACAGTTGAAAGAAATTGGTTAGGATGATACACTTCTTTACCAACTGCTCATGTGCAACAATCTATAATGCATGCACTGTCATGTATCTAATAATTGCATGCATTTGTGGGAATGTTCCTCTAATTTGTTCTTTTCTTCAGAAACAAATAGCACTATTGCATCTGAGAACCCTTTTCTAATTCTTCCATTAACTTAATCATTACTGCATTTATAGATAGGAAAAAATTTTTTGGGGGCTTTCTATGGCTACAAAATGCGTTTTCTTTCATCCAGGCAGCAAGTAGTTTATTTTCAATTGCACATTTTTTTTTTAATGCTTCAAGATGTTTTGATAGAACAAAACATAAGTCAGTTGCCCATCTCTTGCTTCTAGGAAGTTTACCCACCAAACTGATGCAAACTCTTTCTTCTCAGGTGCCTCCCGATCCTCTGTTGTCCGATGCAAGCCGGGAGCCAACTGCCCAAGCACACAGAGTGGCCTCCGCAGGCAGCATTCCCCTTTATCCGTTGCTGCTGAAGATTCTGCTGCTCCCATTCTAGAGCTGCAGAGTCGAAGTCCCTCTGGATTTTGCCGGCACGGCAGAGGAGAGAGGCAGGACAGATCAGGTAGGCTTACAGTAGACTTGAGTAAAATGAAAATAAAATGTAATGGGGAGAAAAGCAAGCTTTTACACTTAGGAAAAAAAACAAACCAAAAAACAAAACCAAAGGTACAAGTACAGATTAGGCAAAAATTGGCTCAAAACAGTAACTGTGAGAGGCACCTTGGCGTCCTAGTAAATGATCACTTACAGTAAATATGAGCCAGCAGCCAAAAAAGCTAATACAATCTTTGAGTGCATAAACAAGAGGCATAGAATCAAAATCATGTGACGTATTAGTTCTGCTTTATAAATTCTTAATAAGATCACACCTGGAATACTGCATCCAGTTTTGGTCACCATGTTACAAAAAAGATGTTGAGACTTTGGAAAAAGTACAGAGAAGAGCAACTAACATAATTAAAGCCTGGAGACTAAAACATATGGAGAATGGTTGCAGGAATTGAATTGGCTAGTCTAGAGAAAAGAAGGGCTAGGGGTGACATGATACAGTATTCCAGTATTTGAGGGGCTGCCACAAAGAAGGGAGGGTCAACTTATTTTCCAAAGCACTAGAAGGCAAGATAAGAAACAATGGGTGGAAACTGACCAAAGAGAGAAGCAACCTGGAATTAAGGAGAAATTTCCTAACATTGAGAACAACTAACCAGTGGAACAGCTTGCCTTCAGAAGCTATAGGTACTTCATCACTAGAGATCTTTAAGAAGAGAAATGGTATAGGGTCTCCTGCTTCAGCAAGGAGTTGGATTAGAAGACCTCCAAGGTCCTTTCCGATTGATTATTCTGATTATTATCACAACTCCATTTGTGCTTTGGGTGCAAAACCTCCTCTGCCCTACCAAAGCATGAATAGTATGGTTTCTTGGGTTGTGATCGCCATTGTCCACTTTGCCCATACTTTTCTATGCTGGGGTTTGGTAAGCAAGAAGAACTAATGGGCAAAAGTGGTGCACTATGTGGCCTTACACAGATGTTTGTAGCAAACTAGTTGCACACAGAATATCCAGCAGAGACAGAACACCTCTGCAGGATGAAACATTAATTCCATACCATCATTATGGCAAGGGGCACATTGAAATCAAACAGGATCTTTCAAACTTCAAGACTAACCTTAACCTGACTCTACCATCAGAACACTAATTTTATCTACCTTGGTCATGATGAGAAAAAGAAGAATCGGGTGGAGGAAAAAGCTTTTCTTTTATCCTGGTGAAAGATCAGTCTTAAATCACCAGGAAAATGTATGGCAGAGAAGGAAAGATTTTTTCCTTAAATATAGCTTTCACCCTTGGTGACTTTGATTTTAAAAACATAATAATCAGAGAGAAATCTGTAGAAATGTGATTTTTCCTCCCCTTTGCCTTGTGACTCTCTTATATCATCATTCCTCTTTTGCTAATCTCTGAATTTATTTTGGCTGGCTAAGAGCAGCCACAAAAAAAAAAAAAAAAAAATGCAAGTGTATTATTTCCCCCCCCCCGCCTTTCAATTTTCAGAAGAAAAAAAAACCTGATGAGGGTAATTTACAAAATACTGCAATGAAAATAATAAGATAAATACAGTTATATTATTAAAAATAATATAACCAAATGATATAGATTAAAATATCAATATATTTCAATCATGAATACAGCATACAGTTTGAAAAGTGGACAGTCAGAACATCAATGTAATTGTTACAAGGTCTGGATAAGAAAATATTATTGTGAAATGGGCATCGTGATGAAGAAATTGTAGAAATAATGTTATTGTTGTAATTTAAATACAATTTAGTAGCCATTGTGTTATCTATCTGTCTATCTAGACCACGGGTGTCAAACTTGCTGCATCATGTGACGTGTTGCAACCTTTTTGCATTGCCGGATCTGGGGTGGGCTCAGCCTCTGCATGATGCAACCGGTTGGCAGGCCAGCAGTTGACACCCCTGACCTAGACACTAGGATTTGAAAACAATTTGATGGAACATAATCAATTAATAATCAATGTTATTTATCAAACATTTGCCAATGTTGGAATGCTTAGTAAAATAGTTGCGTGTAGAAATGTTTACACAAGATACACTGTTTCCTTCAAATTGACAAAAAGCAGTGTGCATTTGTTTGTTTGTTTAATTTATACGCTGCCCAAAGCGACTCTTGGATGTGTTGCCTAGTTGCAAACTCCGTCCCTTCCATTTTTGCATTTGTGTGACATCATACACAAAAGGAACGGAGCTCTCTCCACCTCTAGTTGCATCCTCTATCATTTGTGTGTGTGTGGGGGGGGGGGTAAATGATATTTTGCATTAAGATTTATATTTTGTAAAAAGAACCAAATTGTTCTCCTTTCCAATAACACAGGGTTGCATACTGACTGATACTGTTTCCTCTGATTGGCATTGAGTCTCCAGGATCTCAGATAGACAGTGGATTTTCACAATACTTGATTGTTTTTCAGCAGACTTCCTTGGAGCTGAACCCTGGATCTTCTGCATACAAAGTATGCACCATCAACTTTCCAAAGTATAACAGTATATTCTCTGTGTAGGTTCTATTGCACAGTTGATTTGTATGCATAATTGTAATAGAAGTAGTAGCAGCATGCAGGAACCAACCCCAGACATGAAGGTTGAAGCATGTTTTGAAATGTTCCTTTGTAAACTAACTATTGCAGCCAATCCTAATCCAGTTTCTTAACTAATGGAGAAAACTTCATGGGTTCTCATTCTTTTAATAAGTCAGCCAGTCAAGTAGCTGTTTAGGAACTCTTTGTGCATGCACAGAAGCATATATCCATTAGATTGGAATGAAGAAGTTGATGATCAAGATAACAAAACAAATCCAATTAGTTAAGGAAGATAAGGGGAAAAGAAACTCAATACTCTAAAAATAGAGGGCTCATAAATACCTTAATACTTACCCTAAAGCAAGTCAGACAGCTGAGAAATAGAATTTTGTCTATCCTATTTGGGATAGCTCAGAACCAGACAAATAGGAGGTGTCCCCATGAAAATAGTCAATATTTTAATTTAGAAAATTTAATGTCTGATAAATTAATCCTTTGCTTTATGGAGTGATCAGAAAGAAAAGAATTTCTGCTATGAGAAGCTGTGAGAGCTATGAGAAGAAAATGAATCTAAATTTCAGTGTTTGCTGGCACAAAAGTTGTTCTGATGGAAGAAATCTTCCCCTTTCTCTAGGTAACAGTTGATTATTTATGTATTAATCGTATATGGCTGCCCATCTCATATGCATGACTCTGGGCAGCTGAGAGGACAAAAAACAGAATAAAAACACAAATAACATAAAAATAGCAGCCAAGAACACTCTCAGCATGTCACATTCAATATAGCCAAGAAATGGGCTCACCACATTAACAAAATCCTAAGCTTATGACAAAGCCAAGTTTTTAATGAATTGGAGAAGGCCAGGGTTGGGGCAACTCTGATCTTGGAGAGGGTGAGGTACCAAAGGGCAGGTGCCAGAGCAGAAAAGGCCCTTGTCCTGGGTCCTGCCAACTTTGTCCCTCTTGCAGATGGGATCTACAGCATGCCTCTCCTGCTGGATCTAATAGGATTGCTATTTCTACTGTTTATATAAGGTATACAGATACAAAATTCCTTTTATAGACCATAATAGTAGTTGAATTTTTCCTAATTAATTTATTTGTAGCAATCCCTAATACTTTTGGGTTTCAGTAAGAGTTTGTTAGTTGTATATTGTCACAGAAAGGTTGTCATAGTTGTAGTAATAATAGTATAGTTGATTTCCAGGAGATCTAAGCCCTGTTCAGGTGATACCTTTGCAGGTAGATCTCACCATGCAAGAAATGGTGAGCAGATTCTCCACTTTATAAATTATACTGGTCATTAAAGGGTTGATTTCCAAGGCTACAGTTGATTATCTACAGTGGGGAAATGGCCTTTACATCATTAGTGGAAAGATCTAACTCAGTGTGTCCCATGTATTCCCCCTCTAGCATACCCCTCCCCTGCCATCTGGTCTCCTTAACCATATACATTCATCCGAGGTGGCATCACCTGATATTGGTGGGTAGCACTTCTTGTGCAGGAAAATGCTACCCATTCATAATTCTCTACTTTGAGAATATCTTTAGAGCAACAGATACTGGATAGCCGACTGGGAAGTCAACCATCCAAGAGAAATGGCTGTTTCAGGCAGTGATTGCAGGATCACCCAATGGGACCTTGGGCCACTTTGCGTCTCCTCCTGCTCCCTCACCAAAAGCATCTGCTTTGTTGTACTTCATGATAGGGCCAGCTGTGATACTCCGTCTGTTGCATTGAAATTCTGTTTTGCTAATTCTGTTAATTTGCTGCAGTTGCTATCCTCTGCACATTTTTTTAGTTAAGTATATAAGATAGTCATCCCCACCTGGAATCCTCTAGAAATATTGGAATTGCAACTTTTAGCATTCACAGCTAGCATAGCCACTTCCAACCTATCTGAAGCTGAGGCTGTCCTACTATTAACTTCTTAAAAATCTGAATAACCTCAGCAGCTACTGACCTTTCTTCTTGCTTTGTTATTCCCTTCTTTGCTTCTACTTGTCATGCAAAGTAGAAGCAAATAAGTTATCCTTTTTGCGATTATAAGGAAGAATATTCTTGAAAAGGCAACCCAATGTGAGATGCTGACTATGGCAAGTTTATGTTTATAGTAATAGCAACAGCACTTGGTCTTATATACCGCTTCATAGTGCTTTACTTCAAGTGATTTACAGAGTCAGCATATTGCCCCCAACAATCTGGGTCCTCATCTTACCCCCCCTCAGAAGACTAGAAGGCTGAGTCAACCTTGAGCTGATGAGAATCGAACTGATGGCAGTCGGCAGAATTAGCCTGCAATATTGCGTTCTAACCACGCCTCTTATTCAGGAAAGATGGACATCAGCATAGGGCTCTTATTTAAGGGCCCACTAAATATGAGAATTGGCATCATAGATGGGAACAGAGAAGAGAAATAGTTGCTGCAAACTTTGATCTCAAAAAGATGCATTCAGGGTTTGTAGTTTTCCCCTTGACCCCAAGAAACATTTACATTAATTCTGTTCCTCTTTTCTGACAGTGCATGATACAGAAAACCTGCTCAGATACTAGTGATATGAAAATCCTATAACTCTAATATGATGTTCTTCTAGTCTACCAACATTTACAGGGTCACTTAATTCCTTCTCTTCTTGATATCTTCTTGGCTAGCATTTCCCCTCTTGGCATCTTCCAGTTGTGCTGAAACAGAAGCTCCCCAAACTCATACAAGCAGAAGTCATATTTGGGGGGGGGGGCAACAGGATCAATGCATTTTGTCTGGATGTTAACAGTACTTTGAAAAGTTATGGTTTCTTGTGATTCCTCTTTTTTCATTAAACAGGACAATGCATTGGTCTCCAACCTAGCTTTCCTTTCTTTAATTATCTTCATTGCCTCTGTTTGCAGGAGAAGAAGAGACACAAACTAAAGCTGAAAACAGCAGCCAGGAGAGCCACGCACAGACCCGTTGTGAGTCTTGTACATCTACATTTCTCAAGATCGTCTGGGGATTTCTAATTATTTTGTCAGTCTCATCCTCTTGGATTGGAACAACACAGATTGTCAAAATCACATACAAGAACTTTGATTATCCATTTTTCATGACTTGGTTTTCTACAAATTGGAATATTATGTTTTTCCCCATTTATTACTCTGGACATCTTGCAACTGCCCAGGAAAAGCAGTCTCCAATCAAAAAATTCAGGTAGGTTTCTAGCAGCCTTTCCTATTTGGTTAGACTTCAGTCTTGTCATTTAAAAGACTTTGACATCTTTTCTTCATTCAAGGAAAAAAAGAGATTGGGAAAAAAGTTTTGTAGCCATGTCAACTTGTTCAAAGAACAGTTCTTCAAAAAGCATTCTCATTTTTTCTTTCTTGTATGTATCTGATGAATTCTCCTCCTCTTTGTTTTTTTTAGAATGTGTTTTAAAAATCCCAATACGTGGCTGACTGAGTTTTCCAGAACTTTTCATGAAATAAAATGTTACAAAAAACGGAATAAAAAGCCAAAAGAAAGTCCAAAATTTAGATGATTTTTTTATATTGTTTGAAGAATCCACACAATTATTATTACTTTTTTGAAAAAAAACATTTTCGTATGTACATTAGAGACTATGACAGCTGCCATCTTATGCTTGCTTGTGCTTTGCTGCTATGCGGTGAAAACTGTCATAAACTGTGGGGAGGAGGACTGAGGGAGGGAAGGCTTGGGGAAATGAAAATAAGTGCTGTATCTCCTTGAGACTCTGCCTCAAGGTCATCCAGCTGGAAGAAGGAGAGGGCTGCATACCAAAATGCACTTGGACTGACCATAATGAAAGCATCTTGCCTGAACCTGATTGGTTACACTGGGGTAGTCAATGAGAGATAGTTAAGGGAGGGAAAAGTAGAACTTAGGGATTTGGGCATGCAGTTTTCAGTTCTGGCTTTCCAATACAGTAATACACTTGATCTCTAATAAACTATACCTTTACCAACAAATGGAGCCAAGGATCATTTCTATTTAGAGATTTAAGTTGTGGCAGGTCTGACAGACTGCAAGTTTTAGCCTTTTTGTTATTCTGGCATCTGGAAACTAAAGCTCTGAAGAAAGAGGGGAATCATTGTTCAGTGATAAAATGGCACTTGCATGCAGAAGGTCTCTAGTCCCGGGACTGGTGTTCTTGTATAAAAGTAGTAGATGACAGAGAGATAATTCTTCATCAGTTACTTTGAAGGATTGTAGCTACTTAATACTACTTAGTAGTGTCAAATTTTATTTTTTACAAGTAATCATAAATTCCATGAAATATTTTAACTAGGATTAAGTAGGGAATCAGCTAAGAGGGACCAATTGCTTGCTGTTTGGGTTTTTTTTTTATTCAGAGCAAATTATCACCAACAGCTGTATCTTGAGTGATAAATGCTCAAACTAGCAAGATGTTATTAATGCTTCTCAACCTTGGCAACTTGAAGATGTATAGACTTTAGCTCCCATATTTCCTCAGCCAGCAAATTTTGGGAGGAAACCCACATATCTTTAGGTTGCCAGGGTTGAGAATCGTAGTCCTAGATGTTTCCCTTGAGCAAGATCCTATGTCATATGATTTACACTCCATTCCAGATAGGTTTGAATGCAATCTCTACCCCATCTGGATAGGATTCCATGATGTCTATTTTCTTATCAGTCTTCTCCCAAGCACAGGGAAGCCTTCAATGATTATGCCTTGGGCCACTTAGGCAAACCTTTAAAAGCCAAAGTGGCCAAAATCCATCTTGGTTCACCTGCTCATTTCTCTCTTGCTCAACATTTCAAGACTAGCCAAACTGTCCTCTTCCCTTCCTTCCTCTTGGAAAAATTTCTGTATAGGTGCTTATTTCTTTATGTCTATGGAGATTATCTGTCATCCAGGTCATGGTTGTCCCAAAGGTGCTTTTTTCCACAAGGCAACTGGACTTTCTTGTTTTTCTTTGAAGACGTTTCGCTTGTCATCCAAGAAGCTTTTTCAGTTCTGACTTTCAGCTCTGTTTATTTCTTTAGCCCAACATTTTCTCAAGTCAGCTTCCCAGCCTTCTTTTCAGAATACCAGAACAATATGTATCTTTGGGAGGACAAATGGCAGGATACCCAACAATACAGGTAGTCCTTGATTTACAACTGGAATTGGGGCCTGAATTTCAATTGCTAAGCAAGATGGTTAAGTGAATCACGCCTGATTTTATGTCCACTTTTGCCATGGTTGTTAAACAAATCATTGCAGTCGTTAAGTGAATCCAGCTTCCTCCATTGACTTTGCTTGTCAGAAGTCAACTGGAAAGGTTGCAAATGGTGATCACGAGACCCTGGGATGCTGTAGCAGTTGTAAATACATGCCAATTGCGAAGCACCCGAATTTTGATCATGTAGTAATAATAATAATAATAATAATAATAATAATAATAATAATAATAATAGTAAAAAAAAGTTGGAAGGGACCTTGGAGGTCATGTAATCTAACCCCCTGCTCAGGCAGGAAACCCTATACCATTTCAGACAAATGGCTGTTCAGTCTCTTCTTAAAAACTTCCAGTGTTGGAGCATTCACAGCTTCTGGAGGCAGGTTGTTCCACTGATTAATTGTTCTAACTGTCAGGAAATTTCTCCTATGTTGCTTCTCTCTGTGGTTAGTTTCCATCCGTTGCTTCTTGTTCTGCCTTCAGGAGCTTTGGAAAATAGCTTGACTCTCTCTTCTTTGTGGCAACCCCTGAGATATTGGAACACTGCTATCATGTCCCCCCTCATCCTTCTCTTCGTTAAACTGGACATACCCAATTCCAGCAACTGTTCCTTATATGCTTTAGCCTCCAATCCCCTAATCATCTTTGTTGCTCTTCTCTGCACTCTTTCTAGAGTCTCAACATCTTTTTTACATCATGTTGACCAAAACTGGGTGCAGTATTCCAAGTGTGGCCTTACCAAGGCATTGTAAAGTGGTATTAATACTTCACATGATCTTGATTCTATCCCTCTGTTAATGCAGCCTAGCACTGTGTTGGCTTTTTGGGCAGCTGCAGCTGTCAAACTAAGGAGCTGCTGCAACAGGGCAAGGACCAGTCATAAGTCACATTTTTCAATGCCATTATAAATCAGTCGCCAAACAAACAGTTGTAAGTCGAGGACTACCTGTATTCTATTTAATTTTCCATTCCCCCACATGGAAATACTATGGTCCCAAATCAAATAAGTCAATTCAGATTTTAAAAAAAATCCATGAAATTGCAAACCTAAAAACATTTTTAGGGAGTAAACCTAACTGACTTCTGACAATACATGTTCCTTCTCTCACACTTGAAAACCTCTACATCAAATGTCAACTTTAGATGTGGATTGTTATTATTCAGATAACTATATTTTAAATTCCATTAATATCACCTCTTGAATCAATTTCTTTCACTTAGATCATAAGTGCAAGCAAAATGCTGAGTAAATGTAAATAATGATTGATGTAGTACATATAGATCTTAGCTGGAAACACTTTTAATCACATTCTATATATAAATACTTTTGCCCTTTTCAGTTCAGACTCTGGAAATTAATCTAGTTCTAAACCTTTGCAGGCAAAAATCCTTCCTATTTTAAGTTCTGATTGAGTAGGGTCTATGACAGAGCACCATCTGCCTGAACATCCTATTAAAGCATGTGAGCATATCATGATTTAAAATAATTGGTCAGCCTTCTGAAGCATGGCTGAAGAGCAAGATTAAAAACTAGAAGTTATGCTGCTGTGAAAGTGCAAAATTGGAAGGAGACTTGTATCCCCTAAATGAGGAATCTTTTTTATTTTTCTAGGGAATGTAGTCGGATCTTTGGTGAAGATGGTTTGACGCTGAAGCTCTTTCTTAAAAGAACCGCTCCCTTTTCTATTTTGTGGACTTTGACTAACTACCTGTACCTGTTGGCTCTGAAGAAGCTGACCGCCACAGATGTCTCAGCCCTGTTCTGTTGTAACAAAGCCTTCGTCTTCCTGCTCTCCTGGATTGTCCTGAAAGACAGGTTCATGGGTGTCAGGGTAATGGCCTAGACAGCTTTTCTTGATGATGGTTTCCACTGCCCATAATTTACTTTGGAGTTCTAGGACCGCTATTATGTTCCAAAGAATGCATGTCAGGTGTATCCATATTTTGTGAAGTGTCCAGTGAGTACTACAAATGGGAGGGGATTATTGGATTAGCAGAAATGGTTTCAGGCAATGAATAATTTGGAAGTGGCTACAAGGTTCTCTGAGTTCATGTCCAGCAATGGCACTATGAGGTTACCTTTTCATATATGACTGTTTCTTAGTTTTCTGTTCTCTTGAATGCTGCCCTCAGATGGTGATAGTGAAAAACAGCCACAAGCAATTAATCCATTAAGAATTAACGCATAATTTCATACGGTGTCTTACTTTGGAATGCATGTGGGAGACATTATTATAGAAGAATTACGGGAAACATTAAGATTCGTATAATCTCATATTCTTATTATTTGCCAATATAATAGGTGTCAACACTGCTAATATTGAATATTCTTGCTTTGACAAAATATGCAGAACTGTCTGGTATTTTTAGAGTTAATTCAGATGACAGAGAAAAGGGAGAGGAAATAACAAAAGCCCGGGAAAAGGAACGGAAGTGAATCTCTTGCCTTCTGGGCTAATTGGAAGATGTGACTTGTGACTGCAAGATAAGGGAGGGGTTTAGCAAGAAAAGTTAGATGCCAGCAAGAGGAATTCAGATTCTGGCATAAACCTCCATGATGTGCCAATTTGTAACACTGTTAATAAAGGCTTTAGGATAAACATGCCTGGAAGTTCTTTGAAGTGTTTCATTAATCAGAACCATGACATCATGCCAGAATCAATTAATTTTTCAAACCAATTAAGGGGTCCCGAACTCCAATCACTATTCCTAAACTAAGGGGTAGACTGATAAATATTCGGGGAAGATCTCATTATGAAAGGGGAGAGATGGCTTGAGGCCAGCCCCTCAGCAGCAGCAGCTTCCCCAGGGAGTGGAGTGGCAGCCAGCCAGCCGGGGGAGAAAGAACTCTGGCAGATCTCCCAGCTGGGAGTAAAGACTTCAAAAGCAGAATGGAGAGATAACGAAGCTTTGGGTGAGTCACTGGAAAGATTTCAAACCCCATATGCGAAAAGCAGAAATCGATTCCTGCAGAGAGAAGCCTACAACCCCTCCCTTGTAGATCAGACCCTGGTTCCCCTGGCCAGGAACTGCAGTCCTGAAGACAGAGGGAGTCCCAGACTGAGGCCTCTGCAGCAATGGGCAGATTGGCACCCCCCCAAAGGTAGATGATCAACAGCAGCTGAGCATACCATAGCTAATAGAGGCCTTGCAGTGGCTTGGAGTGATACAGAAGCCAGGAGATCAGCAGCTGGTGGGAGAACAACCACAGCAAGGAGACTGGCCACAGCCCCCAAACGTGCAACCCCTAGGCATAAATCTGCACCCAGGATGGGGCCAGCAGCGAGGAGATTGGCCACAGCCCCCAAACGTGCAACCCCTGGACACAAATCTGTAGCCAGGATGGAGCCAACAACAATAGCCCCAGTGGGGGCCGCAACCGCCTATAATGGCACCCCCTTTCAGAGCAACCTTTGATGGGGACCCAGAGAAGCTGGGTTTTTTTCCTCAACCAAGTGCGCTCTCATTTGAATTTGCTGGGCCTATCTCTACCCGGACCAGGGGCCCATGGTCGATGTCATTGTGTCCAACCTAGAGGGAGAAGCATCCAAATGGCATCCAATTTATATAATGAGCAAGCCCCTGAACTGGAAGACCCCCAACTCTTCCTCCTAGGGCTGAGGGAAAGATTTGAGGACCCATCTTTGGTCTTAAAGCAAGAGAACAGATCCACAAAATAAAACAAGCTGGCAGGTCTGCCCAGGAGTACGTGCGGGAATTTCGCAAGATAGCAGGCCGAATAGAGAGGTGGCCTGAACAATCCCTGATCCAATACTTCACTGAGGGATTAGACAATCACCTCTCTCAGGCACGCATCTATCGAGCCATACCTGATCAGCTGCATGAATAGTACCAGGCAGCAGTGAAGCTAGACGTTCGGCTCGCCCGCTATAAGAAGCCTCCCCCACACGAACCCGAGCAGCAACCAGAGCTACCCAGACAGCAATCACCCCCACGAAAGCCTTCAACGACTGCAATGGCTGAGAGACCCAAGCCACCTACAGGCCCATCAATTAAGTGTTTTTGGTGTGGACAAGAAGGACATCGAGCGGCAACCTGTCCAGTTCCCTACCCCCGACTGCAGAGCAGACCAGAACCAGCAATGAGAAAGAAAACTGCTCAGCAGCTAACGAGGGAAAAATGCAACCAGCTCACGCAGGAACCTGTTGCCCAGATTATACCCCCCAAGCAGGAGAACGCCGAGACTCTAGGTGGACCCACCCCTGCTCTACCCTCCTTTGACAGCGACAACGAAGGAGAGAATGACCCGAAGGTGAGTCGACAAATCCCGCCTTTTTCACTGGTGGCCAAACTTAATAATCTCTAAGTCTGGGGCACAAATGGACTTAAATGTGCTAATTGATTCTGGATGCACCCGCTGCATTATTAGTCTGCCGTTTGCCATGAAAATGGGCATACGGGCAAAACAGCTTTCCAAACCTGTGAGGTTTGAGCAAACCGATGGCTCCTTGATGGGAGGGACTCTTGTCACACAATTAACTGAGCCCTTACACCTAGAAATAGGTGCACACTGGGAGTTTATTCGCTTCCTGGTGGCTCCCAAAATGACTGAAGCAGTAATCCTAGGGCTAGCCTTGTCAGACAAATGGAAGCCGTTTATCTGGTGGGAGAAAGAAATGAGAACCATGAGACTACCTATAGGGCCTAATCCCCCCATTGATTCAACAGATGTTTCAGGGCATCTTAGGCCACCCAATGAGTGAGCGCACATGGCCGCCTCACTGCCTCCAGGCGAACCAGTCATCCCCAATGAATACTGGGACCTGGCGGAGACATTCAGTGAAAAAGAATGTGATGCCCTACCCCCTCACAGACCCAATGACTGCTCCATCGAACTGGTGCCAGGAGCCAAACTCCCATGACCGAGAATGTATGCTATGTCCCCCCTCGAAATGGAGGAGATGCAGCGATACGTGAACAAAAACCTAGCAAGGGGGTTTATCGAATGGGCCAAATCTACCGTGGGAGCCCCTGTGTTGTTCAAAGAGAAGAAAGATGGGTCTCTTCATCTCTGCATAGACTGTAAGGGTCTCAACGCTGTGAGTGTGGAAAATAAATACCCCGCCTCCTAAAGGACTTATTAACCAATCTGGCTAAGGGGAGTGTCTTCACTAAATTAGATCTGAGAGAGGCATATTACCGGGTGAGAATAAAAGAGGGAGACAAGTGGAAAACTGCTTTCAACTGTCCTATGGGGAGCTATCAGTTCAAAGTCATGCCATTTGGACTACAGGGGGCCCCAGCTGTATTCATGCAGTTGATTAATGAGGTCCTACATGATCACTTGTACAAAGGGGTTTTGGTGTATCTTGATGACATCCTGATATACAGCACAAATATGATTGATCACATAAAGCTGGTGAGAGAAGTGTTAAACTATTGAATGCCAAGCTTTATGCCAAATTGTCGAAATGTGAATTTCACCAAACCCGATTAGATTATCTTGGCTACAGAATTTCCAACGAGGGTATTGAAATGGATAAAGCCAAGGTGAAAGCTATAATCAAATGGCAGCCCCCAAAAACTCGCAAACAACTCCAGAGCTTTCTGGGTTTTGCCAAATTTATCATCAATTCACCCCTCTTTTGCCAAGATTGCCCTATCCCTTACAGAACTACTCAAAACCGGCAAAGGAGGAGGGAAGCCACGGCCGGGCCAACCACTAGAACAATGGGCTGTCAAACAGCTTTTGAGGATTTAAAAAGACTATTTGCTGCTGAACTGGTCCTAAAGCACCCCTGCCCAGGGGAACCCTTTGTAATTCAAGCCGACGCCAATGATGTGGCAGTTGGAGCTGTGTTACTGCAAAAGAACAAAAGGGGGGTCCTGCAACCCTGTGCCTACACCTCTAAAAAATTTATTGAGAGCGAGCGGAGATGGGCAATCTGGGAGAAAGAGGCCTTCACGATTAGATGGGCGCTATTAAACTGGTGACACTATCTAGAAGGAAGCAAGGTGCCATTTGAGGTATGGACAGATCACAAAAATCTAGAAGCACTGAAAACTCCCCGCAAATTGTCCCCAAAGCAAGTACGGTGGGCACAGTATTTTAACTGCTTCAACTTCACTCTAAAGTACATACCAGGAAGAAAGAACTTCCTAGCTGATGCACTATCCCGGCTACCCCAATATAAAAGCGAACGGGAAGAGATTAACAAGGCAATTATCCCCAATCCACAAACTGCCGCTCAACTTACACCTCGCAGGGTCCCCAATCCTGATGACCCTGGAGTAAAGAAAATAAAACAAGAGCTCCTCACTGACTAATGGTTCAAAGATAATCAAACTTCCCTAACGTGCAGGGATGATTTGCCAGAAGCCCTCCATCTCAATGCTCTCAAACACAGCCATGATGTAAAACAGGCTGGATGCTTTGGATATTTGAAAGCCCTACACCTCACCTGCTGGCAATTTTGGTGGCCGGGGCTGAAAAGGGATGTGGAAAACTATGTAAAAAGCTGTACTGTATGTGCCACAATGAAAAAAATCCCAGGGAAAACCCCTGGGTTACTGCAACTTGTGGCAGACCCTTCTCAACCATGGGAAGAAATAGCTATGGACTTTATAGTAGACCTACCTGAAAGTAGTGGAAATACTGTCATCTGGACTGTAATAGACCTGTTCTCGAAGCAGGCTCATTTCATCACCTGCAAAGGAATCCCATCTGCCCAACGACTGATCAAATTGTTCCTGAAACATATCTACCAGCTGCATGGCGCCCCTAAGTGAATAATTTCGGACAGGGGGGTGCAGTTCACAGCAAAGTTTTGGAGAAGTTTCCTTACATTAATTGGATCATCTCAAGGTTTAT